ACCGTGCCCACCGTTGGCGAATAAACGCGGGGTCCCGAAGGACCTTGCCGTCCTCATCCTTGATGTTCTGAGAGGTGAACGACCTCTTACCTTGGACTTCGATCGAAGGACCTTGCCGTCCTCGTCCTTGATGTTCTGAGGGGTGAACGACCTCTTACCTTGGACTTCGATCGAAGGACCTTGCCGTCCTCGTGCTTGATGTTCTGAGAGGTGAACGACCTCTTACCTTCGACGTCGATCATCTTCAGGTGCCTGTAGAAACCCGCCTGATCCCCCCTCGCGGCTCTTCTTCTCGAGCTGCCGTACATAGCCCTCGAAGAACGTTGCCAGTGCTCTCCACCTCGCGATGCTGCGCTTCTTCCGTGCCGCCTTGAGCATCGCCTTCAGGGTCGCCTCGAACGCGCTGTTCTTTGAGGCCCCACGCAGTTGCTGCTGGGCCGCCTTAATCTCCTTAGACGCTTCGGAGATCTTGTGCTGCGCTTCGCTCGTGTACCAGCCTCTCTGCCCACGTGCGCACCTCGCCAGCTCGTACGTATGCGCATAGGATTGTGCCGCCATCGACCCTATCGCTCAAGGTACGTACTTACCACGCAGCAAGACGCCCAACATACGTAGGCAGTTTACGTATCATGCGGTGGACCGTCTGTTGTTGTTTGTTTCTTCAACTGCTGCTATTCATGGATGACGGCACAAACAAAAAAGTGAAGAGACCGGCACCGCTACGTGCGCGAGCAACGCGTGCAACCCAAAGCGACAGAGACCACACACCACACGAGCTTTGGAGCACACAATCGGAGCAACTACAGCAGCCGCATGTGTACCAAGCGGTCACTCAGCAAGAAAATAAATGTTGAAATGAAAAAACAGACAAGAAGATCGCGGAGCTCAGCACGCAGCACCCGCTCTCTCTCTGTTCAACCGGCCGTTCCCATGGCGAAACAGACAATGAACGGTCAAGGCCGACTCTTGTCGGCCACAGGAGGCGACAGTAGCCCAACCTCGGGGAGGGGTCATGGTCTGCGATTCCCTACCGAACCATACTCGAGCCCCCACGAATTTGCACTGTAGCTCGAGGTCAGCAATTGAGACCGGGTCCGGCAAGGGGGTGGGCTATGCGAATAAAAATGAAACGGACAGAAAAAGTGAACTTAGGTCGAGAGACCCAAGCTCTACCGAGGTTGGGAATATACCTGTATCGTCAGGGAAGAATGACAACAAAATCCGAATTGCGGTGCAGCAGTTGTATCTAACTTCTCGGAGCTGTGATGTCTGGCACTCGGGATCCATGTCTGAAGAAACCTCGCCATATCAACTTTGTATGGCTTCACTGAACAATACGGAGCAAGCATTCAATAGTTCTGACCAAGTCACTCGCTTCAATCGCCTTACCAACCCCAAAGAACACACGTGTCGTCGTACGAACTCGACCGCTCGTTGTGCAAAGGTGGGGACCCAGCACATCATGATATCCTACTTGCGTCGTACTTGAAATCTTTGATATGCTGACCGCACCCTTCCGCACTCCTCATGAGCCGTCCTAAAGAATAGTGGAGCAACCTTGTGCTAGGTATACAACGAGAAGATCCAGAACATAAACCGAACCTATTGCGAATAGAATTTGCACAACATCAACCAAAACTATTCGGGACAATCTTGCCGGTGGAAATTCCCGCCGTACTGCAAGCAATGAGGTGGACAGTTTACCACTCCTTTGCCCGCCTCGATATATATTCTCTATGCATGTGATACTTCTGTGAAGATGTTTCCAAAAAAGCCATCCAATGTCTCGGATTCTGCACCCCGACTCGGTTCGTGACCACCAAGTGTCTCTTTACCCTCCCCGCACTATCGTGCTCAAACAATCACCAGTAATTACAATGCGTAGCCCCGTCTGCCACCCGCCACCATCATTTCGATTCGTAGAAGAAACAATGTATCGACGACGTTGTACACGTTGTGCGCATGTAGACGATGACTACCTGCTGAGGGCATCGCCTGAACGACCAACCAAACGGGAACGATGACAATAATCACAAAGCTCACGGGCAAAGGGAACCGTGAGATGGGTCGGACGCTTTGCACATGACCACAAAATCCACCGGGAAACACGAGCCACCCAGGGGTCGCAAATGTTAACCAATATTTCGAATCTCAATTTTCACACTTTGCAATGCCTTTGACAATCGAAACAACAGCGCACACAAGCTACTCCTCCACATCTGCTTTACGGCTCCATCAATAAATACCATTTCTCGCTGAGAAACAACTTTTGCAGAAGGCACGCTTGATGCTGTCGCCTTTGCAGTACGACGGGTGCTTGGTGAACACTGCATGGCCTCACCTCTTGCGGCGAACGTCCACCATACCATCCATCGCGTGCTGAGAGCAGAAATCCCTGCTGCCGGCTTCACCATAAGACGGATGCTTCATGCATCCTGGGTGGCCGCATCTCTTGTGGCGAACGTAAACCATACCCTCACTTGCGGTTCTGAGAGCAGAATTCCGCCTTCTTGCTGCCGTCCGTACCAAATGACGATCGCTTCATGCACCCTGGATGGCCGCACCTGTTGCTGGCGACATGGACCGTACTCTCCTTGGCGCGCATGGACCAGAAATCTGGCTTCGCGGCCGTACAATAGCCGGGTTGTGCAGCCGGACACCGGCGTTGTGTTTGCCTTTTGTGTCTGACGAATAGTCGCGCGGACTGCAGAAAAAACGATGGAACAAAAGAACAAGGAGTAGCATCCACGTTCCAGTATTAATTACTGCAGCCCTCTTTGGTACACGTCAAGACTTCTCAATGCCGAGAAGGCTGGACTGTCATTCCCATGCTCTTCCAATCGAAAATGCAGTCGTTGCTCCATTACAATAGGGCGGTGTGACAAGGGCCCTCGACCCTCTTATATAAGAGTCCCCTCTTAGATTGTGGCACTCTATTGAAGGGTACCGTCTTACAAAGGGCAGATCGGGAATAAAGAGAAACTCAGGCATTTCGACTACAACGCAGCGCACCATATGCCGTGTGTTTTAATCTATGCATGATGGGCTGATTGCCCGAATCGGCATGCCCAAAGCAAGCCAGATGATAGTAATCGTATCGGCAACGATTTCCCTTTCGTGTTTAGTTCGTTCATGGAGTGGGAACATCTGCAGAGAAGAATTGCCATGCAGCCCAGTTGACGCATCCATTGATACCAATAGGCAAAGTACTTACGAAGTATGTACATGTCATACGTTTAAAGAAACGCATACCGAGTCGCACAACATGTCTCAACGCCTCGGCCACTTCTCCGACAATGGTTTTCGTTTGAAGTTGGCGCCCTGTTTAAAAATAGATGTGACAGATTTGCGTAGAATAGGGTAAGATGTTATCATGAACAGAGAAGAAAGGGCTTTTCCAACACGGATATGTAGCATGGATCAAAACATTTGTTGGATTTCAGCTTTTACAAGAGGACATCAACGCAGTAGTGTTTGAGCAAGCTTACGAACGCATGTAGGATACCATGAGGATTGTCATTGGTTATATTTCAAATTGAAGAGGAGATATTTTTACGATGTGACAGTAGAAATAAGTCCTACATATGTTGTACTTCGTATTGGTTTAATATTCATGTAGAGTACGAGACATTAAGTGAAAATTTTCTGAGGTACATCTGCAATTGTCGGAAGGCAAAAATGGTTGTATAGGACGGTCTACCACCGCCTGCCGCACACCATACATAAGACTGCAGTGCTGTCGTGCCGTAGGGCATGAAAAGCAAACGTACTATCTACACGTCAAGGAATTCCGCATGTTCTGCCTGCGATGCAGATATTGAAACGTATGCTGAAAGGAACGATACTCTAGCAGGCACAACCCCCCCCTGCTTCTAGTTGGTGCCGCGATGTGTGTGCGTTCGTGTGCGTCATACTATACTTGTATTCTTAGCGCCGACCACGGCAACCAGCTAACCAACGAAAATGCTCCAGTTTCAATGAGGTTGAACACCGAAAATGCTTCACAAGGCCACGATCTGGGACACCAGGAACCAAGACCAACGCCAACAAAACAGGGGTACATTAACGAGAGTTGCAAGCATGGTCGGTATATGTTGTATCAATACAGCTGGTGTGCTGTATGGCAACAACCCTGTCGAACATACCATCCCGCTACCCAAACGATGTCACCAACCAGCGTCCTGAGAGAAGACAAAGTGGGAGTGACGTGCTTCAGAAAGCCGAGCACAGCATGCACAGACAAACCGCACGATCAACTTTTGGATTGGTAAGGCTGAGAAACAATGTTTCAACCAAACTCACCGTCTTCGGTACTGCACGGGCTCACTGCCCCCGCCTTCTTCCCCTGTTCCTGGCTCTGAGGCCTTCCGTTGGCGCTTGGAGGGCTCTCTTGTAGGACTAGTAATCGAATAGGGATACATTTGACGTGGGCGAGACTAAAAAAAAAGCGATGGAATAAAAACGAAAGACGATTGAAAAAATACAATCGAGCTGCAACACCACCGATTCGTAGATTGTGCCGAGCCTTTCGATGGACGTGTCGAATCGATGTCGAGGCAGCAGCTCATGTGGTTTGTCTTATGAAGGGGAACACAACTTGGTACACGATGGAAGGGATAAATATCGCGCCGGGATCCGAGACCTCGTTTTTCATTGGAAAACATGAACCACGCACCGCTTACCGTCTAACCAAGGACTAGACGTGAGTCATAGCAATATCTACCATGCTAACATAAATAGGGGCTTGCGGGTGCCTATGTGTGTGAATGCGACAAACAGGCAGTAACGGACAGAGACGAGCACGGGCAACAGCAATCGCTGCTATACGCGAAGACGTGTGGCTTTCCATAGCTACGGCAGGTTCCGATTGTGTGCCAATGCTTGTTTCATGCGTGTGCTCCCGAATCTGAACGCATCCCCGACGACAACAGGGGCGTTGGATCTCGCCAATCGTTTTGGAGGATATTCAACAGCATCCTGTTGGAGCGTATACTACAGCTATCGTAGAACAAACACAGAAAGCAAGCGACACTCGCACGTCGAACGTAGATCCGACCGGGCATGTGTGTCACAGCTGTTGCAGCTCAATGTGAGTGGGCAGGTACATAAGTGCCATCTATCCAACCTGTCCATCCTGTCAAACCGGATCAAGGATACCATTGTCATGGTATCTTGAGAAGGTACTCACTCCCCTCCATAAGCAGCGTGGTCTGACAAGCTCACCCAACCTGGTTTCCAATAATTGCTCGAGATGCGGATAGGTCGAGGATACGTACAGCGTAGAATGATACCCATCTTCTGGGTTGAGTTCCAGCACCATACTGTGGCATGGGGGTACACTTGCACTTATTTGTCAGGCCACACGGCTTGTTCGAGATCGCATTGAGGACGGTTGAGATTGTGGGTGTTGCCATGCAGCTTGAGACGATGGACAAAAGGAACCAGCAATCTCCAAGGACCTCAGATTCGGAAGTGGGTGATCCCCGCATCTGGCCCTGTCACTAACGCTCGACCTACCGTCATATCGCACATCCTTCGCTCACCTTTCGGCGTAGTCT